TAAAATCCATGGGGAAATGGCACAGGGGACACAATGGTGGGAGTCTACTACAGACCTCTCATCCAAAGTCAGGAGCTTGACCAGGAGTTCGCCAGGGAATTGACTGAGGCCGCATGTTCCTGGTCCACAGTTGTCATGGGACACATGAACTATCCAGACATCTCGTGGGAAGAATGCTCAGGTAAATCCGAGCAGTCGCAAAGCTGATCACGGGGATAATGCTCACCCGCACCTCAGCGAGAGCTAAAGTCCAGGACACTTGTAAAGCACTGGAAACTCCGCTAGCTGTGTATCCACCAGCCACAGAACTACAGAGCAATAATGGCCCTCACTTCTGCAATCATCTTGTGTATGACTGGATCGCGAAACATGGCATGTTATGGACACAGCACATCCCGTACCATCTGCAGTCTAATGGATTGGTAGAGTGAGTCAATGGCATCCTCAAATACAATCTGCTGTTAGCCGCTGGCCCAGTTCTTAAGGACTGGGACTTGCACCTGGATCAAGCTATCAGTTGGGCCAATAACCGACCCCGTCTGGGAGGCAGCCTCTGGCCCAGCTCTTAAGGACTAGGACTTGCGGATGTCAGATTCATCTCCTTGTCGTCTTGTTCCTACAGATTGGATCTGTCCACAAATGCAGCCATGGCCATTCCTAATTGAGCCTGCCACTGAAGACGAGTCCTGCTCTGTCACCTGTCTGAATTGACTGGCATCATGAAGTGGTGGACTGTTGTATCTGTATTTTTCTTATTAATGCCTTATTGTGTTTCCTGGGTATGGCATGTCTAATATCCTTCTTATTACCCAGATATTAATGAACTTGCTCCTGAAGACTTCAAGGAGTGGCCTGACCCTGAAGAGAATCCCCTGGAAATGTGCTCAGATGACCTTCACGTGGTCCAGCTGCAATATCCATATTAAAAGAAACCCGTCACCCTGGAGCAAGTGAAATCCTGGTCTCTAAGTAGAACAAACAGGATATTTGACTGGCAGGGTGGTATGTCAGTGCACCTGTGGCACCAGTTATTATCTTGGATACATTCCCTACTGAAGGCTGGAATGGCTAACTGTGGGAGGAAAGGTAATTGTTGTAGTTCTGCTTGTTTATGGGTTTGTTGTTACATACTTTCTGAGGGAAATCCCATTGAGTTCAACACCCCTGAGTCTGCCCCCAACTGTGCATTCTGTATCTGTTCAGCCTTTAGAGCCACTGCGTTTATGGAATACCCCCTCCCATTCCTATGGCTGACAATACTCTCCAGCGATAGTGTGAAGCTCACCAGGTGGGAGGGCACGTTTCAGGTTGAAACAAAGTTATTACATGGTTTATAAATCATACCTACACAAAGGTGTGGTGGAATAGTACCACTTGGGCTTTGTGCAATTCATGCTGCTTAGAAGCTAAAAAGTGGAGCCGTTGCTCTGCTGCAATTAAGTAATTGTATAGTCTCAGAGGAAATTTCTGGCCATTTTAGGGCAATAGTACTTCTCAACTTTACGATACCCACTTCATGGGTATCAGGTGTGGACATGCCATGGTTAGAAGACTGGAATGAGGTAAAAGATGAACTATGAAGCCTTAAGGCAAAAGCTCGGCAAGGAACTCAGTTAGCCCTTCTTACTCGGGAGGGTGGGCAAGTCATCAGTTTGGCTGTCAATGTGCCCAAGCCATGTAAATGGTACAGTGTGATTTGCACTGTTCGCATGTCACCAGTAGTTACCCATCTTAAGTGTCATAGTGTACTGCATTACCCTAGTGGCAACAGCTAAATGGTGTTTTAACTGTTTTTGTCATAAATCTGTTCATGCTATGCAAGTTAAATTCCCTCTCCCTTCCCTGATGTAGCGCATGTAACTTTAGCATTTCAACTGTAGCCATCACAGTGCTTCAGTAAGCAAGGGGTGGAGCGTGACAGCTGAAAATTATGTCTGCGTGATAAAGACACTTGCTAAGGCTCTATGATTAGACCACGTGTTTTTCTGTCAGTTGTTTAGATATTAAGCTATATGTTGTTGTTAAGAGCCTAATTGAAGTCAAAGATGTAGTGAGGCCTTATATGTAGTATAAGGCCTAGTAAATTTAGCAAAGTCTTGTAGAAGTGGTAGTAGGCTTTGTGGCATAGTTAAAATTAACCTTATCAGAAGAATGAATCATAGAATCATAGAAGTAGGGTCGGAAGGGACCTTGTAGATCTTCAAGTCCGTCCCCCTGCCTGGGCGGGAGAAAAGACTGGACTCAAATGAGTCCAGCCAGGTAGTCATCAAGCCTCCTCTTAAAGATCCCCAGGGTAGGAGCCAGCACCACTTCCCTAGGAAGTTGGTTCCAGCTCCTAGCCGCCCTAACTGTGAAGTAGTTCTTGCGGATGTCTAATCTAAACCTACTCTCTAATAATTTGTGTCCATTGTTCCTTGTCATGCCAGGGGGCGCTAGGGGAAACAGTGTCTCCCCTAAACCCTTCTGGTCCCCCCTAGTGAGTTTATAGACAGTCACCAGGTCCCCCCTCAGCCTTCTCTTGTGAAGGCTGAACAGGTTTAGGTCCCGCAGTCTTTCAATGTAGGGTCTGCCCTGTAGTCCCCGGATCATGCGGGTGGCCCTCCTCTGGACCCTTTCAATGTTGTCCACATCCCTCCTGAAATGGGGCGCACAGAACTGGACGCAGTACTCCAGCTGTGGCCTGACCAGCATTGCATAGAGGGGGAGGATCACCTCCCTGGCTCTACTTGAGATGCACCTGTGGATGCACGACAAGGTCCGGTTAGCCCTGCCAACCGTGACCTCGCATTGTCGGCCCACGTTCATCCTGGAGTCAATAATGACTCCAAGATCCCTTTCTGCCTCCGTGCTCTCAAGAAGGGAGTTTCCCATTCTATAAGTGTGCTGCTGGTTTCTACTGCCTAAGTGCAGCATCCTGCACTTGTCAGTATTGAAACGCATCCTGTCAGTATTGAAACGCATCCTGTCAGTATTGCCTATACTGCCTAAGTGCCTATACTGCCTAAATCAGTATTGAAACACATCCTGTCAGTATTGCCTATACTGCCTAAGTGCAGCACCCTGCACTTGTCAGTATTGAAATGCATACAATGCAAGGCTTGTACTGCTATTGGTCAGTCCTAAGAATAATTATAATGAGAGAATCTGGATGGCTGTAAGTTATCAGCCTAGCTCAGACGTTAGAAACTGGCTGGCACATTCAGAAATCATTTAGAAGGAAGATGCAGCTCTGTAAAAGAAGCTCCTGATCTAAGATTAGCTGCTGACCTGGATTTGGTGGGCCCGTGGATCTTGAGGAGTCCAAGGACTGAATACCAGGGTCCTTCTCGGTACCTCTCAGACAGCGCTGATCAGAGACACTTGACTTTGCTGAGCTTTGCAGAAGAGAAACTTGTACATCAGGCAGAGGGGACTGTCGATAAATTGCCAACGTGAATTATTATGGTCTGTTCTCGTTTTGTTATTTACACGTAGTTGTGTGTTTGTTAAGTCAATAAACCTTTCTTACCCTTCTACCCCCAACCACACTCTCAAATCCCAAACCCTCCGCAAGCAGCTGGGACACTGGCCAACTGTGGCCTCGAGTCCACCATCATGTGCTGGCTGGGGAATTGGCTCCGTGGTCAGACCCAAAGGGTGGTGGTTGACAGAAGTCAATCGTCACGGTGCCCTGTGACCAGTGGGGTCCCCCAAGACTCTGTCCTTGGACCGATATTGTTCAACATCTTCATTAATGATGTGGGCATTGGAGTCAGAAGCGGACTGGCCAAGTTCACCAACGATACCAAACTCTGGGGTAAAGCACCCACACCTGAGGACAGGAGGGCGATCCAGGATGACCTTGACAGGCTCAGGAAATGGGCAGAAGAGAACCTGATGGTGTTTAACACTGAAAAATGCAAGGTTCTCCACCTTGGGAAGAAAAACCTGCAGCATCCTTATAGGCTAGCACTACAGATGAAAGGGACTTGGGGGTCATGACTGACCACAAGATGAACATGAGCCTTCAGTGTGATGCTGCAGCTAGTAAAGTGAGCAAAATGCTGGCTTGCATCCATAGATGCTTCTCAAGCAAATCCCAGGACGTCATTCTCCTGTTGTACTCTGCCTTGGTGAGGCTGTAGCTGGAGTACTGCATCCAGTTTTGGGCTCCACCATTCAAAAAAGGATGTGGAGATGCTTGAGAGAGTCCAGAGAAGAGCCATGCGCATGATCAGAGGTCAGGAAAACAGACCTTACGATAGGGCTGACAGCTATGGGACTCTTCATCCTGGAAAAGCGCAGGCTCAGGGATGATCTGATGGCCACCTATAAGTTTATCGGGGTGTTCACCAGGATCTGGGGGAGCATTTGTTCACCAGAGCGCCCCAAGGGATGACGAGGTTGAACGGTTATAAACTCCTGCAAGACTGTTTCAGGCTGGACATAAGAAAGAATTTCTTTACTGTCCGAGCCCCCAAGGTTTGGAATAGACTGCCATCGGAGGTGATTCAAGCATCTAGTCTGAATGCCTTCAAGAGAAAAATCGGATGTTTATCTTGCTGGGATCCTATGACCCCAGCTGACTTCCTGCCCCTGGGGCAGGGGGCTGAACTTGATGATCTTCCGAGGTCCCTTCCAGCCCTAATGTCTATGAGATCTATGAGAGTTGTTGTATGAAATGATATAAAGGAGGACATACGTAGGGGAGAGGGGTGGGGGGAAGGAGTGAGAGAGAAAACTAAGGCAGGCATAGCTTTGGTGCTAAAAGTGAACATACTTTCCAAGTGATATAACAAGGTCCCAAACAAATAACTAAATTTTCAAGTATCATTATGTAATACATCAAGACCATTTACTAACTCTGTTTTTTCTATAAGTTGCTTATTTTCAGTGAGAATACTGCAATGGATTTCTAAACTTACAACTGAGCCCATGCTCTACAGTTAAAAATGGAATTTGGCCATCTCCTCCAAACTCACTGGAGGCCCCAATTTTAAAACATGCAAAAAAGAGAAAAGAATTTAACACTGACTTTTTATTCCACCTCCAGTGGACAAGGAGAGAGACTTTAATAGTAACACCACTGTAAAAAGCAACAATTATACAAAAAAAAAAATCAAATATTTATTTTTGAAGAAGGTTAGAAATAATATACATATGAAGTCTTGCTTGGTTCTAAAATAATTTAAATATTTTTATTTTTTAGATTTTTCTAACTGAAGCTGCTATTATTGAAGTGTGTAAAATCCATCTTTCTTCAGCGGAGCACTTGGAAGTTGAACATTTCAACTAAGCCTTAATACCTGATCTGTTATTGAACAGACCAATAAAAATTTTCTGCCATTGTATTTGGGGAAACAAACTCCTAATTTTGTCCATCTTTGTATTCTCTCTGATAAAAAAGCAGAGTAGGAGGAAAGAATAAAATTACCCACCTCCCTAACCCCTAGCTAGGGAGAGCATGCTGCAAATATCAGCATCATCAAAATGATGCATCACAATATTCATGGTTACCTTCATTTCATTTTCTCTTTTCCAACTGCTAGAATTATCAGCACAGCAGCAGGAGGTAAACATAAAAAGATTCACCTTAAACTCTGCACAGCATTATAGAAGAGGCAGCAAAATTTGAAAACATTTCTGGTTGAAAGCAATGATAAATTCTTTGGCTACAAATGAATTTCATAACCACTACAAAAAAATTTAACTATTTCAGTGATGTGACAGCAAACACCAGTAAAAGTTCAGCTGACACTGGTTAAAAAAAAAGTAACAAAACCTGAAGCTGCAAAACACTATAAATTTTATTCTTAAAAAAAAGTGAACTACTCAATGTGGGTAATTGATATGATGTACTTATTTAAATACAGCCTAAGTAGTCAGAGAATGAAACATAGACTTCGGTGCTTTGGTATTAATGGAGGCTTTTAGTATGCAAGTGAAGAGCTAAAAGAAGGTATTTTCACAACATGCTTATCTTTTTAACTGCTTGAGCCTAACAGCTAACAGTTTAAAAGGCCGCTTTCATTGTATTATAAAGCTCTCCCCTCTCTTACATTAGAACATCTTCTGAATCATCCTCTGTATAATTTGGTTGACATTTAAGGTGAAGAATTTCTATAACAGGTAACTTTAAAGTGAGAGAACACATGTTGAAGGAAATGCATGAATATTTCAGTTAAAAAAAAAAAAAAAAAGCATATTTTCCATCTTCTTCATGCAACCAGCATGCTTTCTAAAGTGTCCTACCTTCCCACCCCTTTTTAAAATCGTTATATTTTCCATTACGACTTCTTATTCTGCTCTACAGCATCCAAACACATACATGTAACACAGTATTAATGAATTTCCTGTGTCAGGTTTCATCGTTATCTGTAGAAAAAAAAAAAATCAACCTAAGCTTAGTAAACTTAAATTAGGAGGAGCAGCTTAATAATCAACCATATATGTTATAAAACTCTTATCAAACAACACAGACAGGAACATTTAACAAAATAGCCAACTTCAAAATTACCTTGAAAATACTAACCATGCAAGCCTGTAAGGAATGATACCGCATCTTTACTGGATTAAGTAAAATGTCTTAATATACTTGCATGTCAAACAGCATGCTCAGTTTAAAGAACCTGTCACCATGAAACCCTTTTACCACTAAATAAGGATACAGATTTTTATAGCTTCCCTTATACAAGATAAAAGTATTTATAAAACTGTTTAGTAGCAAATGTCTTTAAAACTGCCACTAGTCCTCTATTTCATTGTTCATTAGTGCAGGTCTCTGTAATTTGGAGGTGGGACTTTCACATTTTAATGATATACTGTATATCCTGTAAAATATTTAATTTGGAATCTGGACTATTCTAAATTACAACCGTTTTAAAATCAGGCTTTGGCAAAAAAGACAACTCATTTCTAATAGGACTTGGTCAGAAAATTCCTTGAAAGTTGAAGTATGTTCCTAACATTTGCCTGAAACTATCATTTTAAGAAATGTAATGCCAGCATAAGGGGGGGAAAACGTTCTTTCTTCATGAGTGAAGGTGACTGCATCCAGCTGGTGGGGGAGAGGAAATGAAAGAGGGAAGAGGAAAAAAAGAAATGGGAAGGAAACGGGGAGGGAGAAAGAGAAGAAAAAGAAAGGAGGGGGGTGGAGGCTAGGTCACGTGGGTACATAGGTGACTTATAAACCCGATCTTTGCCTTGAACAGATCAGGTATAATGCCAGCTTATACCTCAAAGAAAACCTTTTTGCCATCTTACAGGGTTTCCTTTCGTTTTACTTTGTTTCTGTTCTTCATCTTCATAACTTCTATGAAACAATGCTCCTATCACTTTTGGTTTGTACCCATTTCTTAGACTACATTTTTTTTACTTCAGTTTCATATGGAATATTAGACAGTATGACTCCGTATGCCTTACTGCTAATCATACCATGGCAGGGGGTCGGACTTGATGATCTGCTCAGGTCCCTTCTGACCCTACTAACTATGAAACTAATATCACTCCATCTCTGGGAAAACAATTTGATCATCTGTGTTTTCCCTGCTGAATGTCTGAACTGTTCTGCAGGAACAATAGGAGGTAAAAAGAATGATAATGGTGTATGTCATCAGTGATTTGTGTGTTAAGAATGATTCTTTTTAAAATGGGATTTTTATATTTAATAAAATGACCTGCTATACCACATTAAAATTTTAATTGAATTTACTGGACCATTTTTTCACTTACTGTTGGATATCTGGTTTTGCAAAGGAGTTGAATTAAATCATTTTGGTAGTAAATTAACAATTAATACATTTAAAATAAGTGGCAAAAATAATTGCAACAAGGCTGGTTCTCAATGGTAATTATTTTAAATATTTAAACCTTAAATGGCCAGAAAGCTAAAATTAGCTTAATTATCATTACTTTAAAAAAAAAAAGCAATATTCTCTCTAGATTATTAAACACAGATTAAGTTTACTTATTTTAAAAGATGGTAAAAACACAAATATTTTCCAAATGTTCCTTCTGTTCATGAATATGATACAACAAAGGAATGACCGTATGTATGCAAGCATTTTCATTGACCATATAGGTGTTGCTTTGATTTGTTAGTGCTTTTTAAAAGGTTCTCTTATTGCTTATATTCACCTGAGATTTACTTTTAAAAGACAGACCAACAATCTGACTCTCGTTTCAATTTTCCAGGAAGTTTTCATAGGATCAGCCTGAGTGGCTGCTCTTAAGCATGCCAGATACTGTGGTCTCAAGAGGGACCAGAGAAGAGTGCCCCACAGCATCTTCACTGGTGTATTTCTGGATTTGGAACATACATAGGCTAGATGTGCTCAAGAGCAACTCAGCCAAAATTTGTTTGCTGCGTTCTGACATACCCAGTGGCTCTTTCATTTGCATCATTAGAAATATAAAAAGGCTTTGGATTCTGGCTACCAAAAACTAGCTCTTAAGGAGAATACCATGGACGGGGTTCACAAATCAAGGCCCTTCACTGGTATAGCAAACTGAATATAAAATATAAAAACTGAATAGCATTTCACATCATGCCTTTAACCTAAGCATTTCAAGCAAGGATTGTTTAGTTATTCCATCCTCTAAAACTTTGCCCAAGGCTTAAAGCTTCAAATCCTTTAAAAACAGGTGAATAGAACCTGCTGTGCTCATTCCAAGCACAAAACCTTAGTACAGAAATACTATATAATTGTCATAAAGCACTAAGAAAATTACCTTCTTGATAGGCTCCATCTGCCATTACCAAATGAAGAATTTTGGCATATAAGTGTTTATGTTCATTTCCCAAACTATTCTGAACTATTGTTGAACAAGTATCAATATTTTCATCTTCATCTTCATGTATAGCCTAGGAGGAAAGACAACCATGTGGGTCCAAATTAAGATGGGCATAAAATTAAACAATTTCACAGTAACAAAGCAGAGATCATCTGTACTTGAGCTCAAACTCATCTTCTAGGTCCTTTACAATGGAATTTTGAATACTGCCTGTCAGCATGCTGAACTGAATACAGAGTTAGGAGGAACATGCAGAAACTGTAGTCATAGGATCACAGGAAGGAAGAGCTGGAAGGGACCTCCTGAGATCATCTGGTCAGGCCAGGCAACTGCTCAAGACAGGATGGTCCCTGACTAACCCAACCATCCCAGCCAAGAGTCTGTTCAGCCTGCTCTTGAAAATATCCATGGATGGAGATTGCACAACATCCCTATGTAGCCTGTTCCAATGCTTGACCACCCTCAGAGTCAGCAAGTTCCTCCTAATCTCCAACCTGAATTTCCTCATCTGGAGTTCAAGGCCTATGGTCATAGACAAAAGCCCAATTCCATCCTCTCTGTAATTGCCCTTCAGGCATTTGAAGACTTATCAAATTTCCCTTCAGGTTTTCCTTCTTCACTAAATAACTCTCTTTCACTCTTTCCTCTTAACTCTTCCTTCTCAGGTTCCTAACAACTTCTATTGCTCTGCATTCCACTCCTTCCAATCTGTGCACATCCTTCTTGAAGCATGGATCCCAAAACCTCACCAGCACTGAACAAAGCAGATTTAGTTTTCTTGAATATTCCAAAACAACAGGAATATTGACATTCCTGTTAATACAACCCAGTATGCTGTTGGCTTTCTTTGCAACAAGAGTGCACTGTTGGCTCATATTCATTCTAGTTATAGCTTACTGTAACGCCTAAGCCCTTCTCTCCAGTACTGCAGCCTAGCTAGTCATTCTCTAGTCTGTACTCATGCATAGTTATACAACAAACTTGGACAGCATAGCAATGAGCAGTAGGAGGTCAGATTAAAATAATTTTAAAAAAAAGTATTATTCCACTTGGAGAATTCAACAAACCTTTATTTTATCATAGATTTCAATGAATTTATCAAAGCCTATTTCTTGCTCCAAGTTATATCTCAACTCTTCTAGATGGCTGAAGACACTGTCATACTCTTCACATTCACTGGTGATCTCTCCATCACTGTTGTCTGCAAAGAAAAATATATAAGGCAGATAGCACAAAAAGTTTAATCTTTCTGGGTTTCTGAATATATTGCACCACATGACTAAATTCGTGTCATCACAGAAACCTCTAAAACCAAATGCAAGTAATTAGTTTCAGGAAAGTGTACCAAAATGCCACCATACCGATAAAAACAGCACACATCCTCATGGTCTAAAGAAGGAGAGAAGGATAGGGTGTGTGTGGCCAGAGAGCTTACTGTTTTCTGACAATATTGTGGCTAGATTTGCAAACTTTGTTACAGTAAACTGACAAACAGGTAGCAGAATTTAGCAATGAAATATGAGAACTCTTGACTTACTATTATAAATGATCAAATATATAATTCTGTGACCGCCATAAACTACCAATCTAACTATGCCATACATTTAAACCAGCACTGCCAGCCCCAAGTGTCTACAAAATTAGTAAGAGCTCCAATAAAATAATGAATGTCTTAAAAACCATGATTTTATTGGCTTCTGGGTTCTAAGCTATTAAAGGTTGCATTTTAAAACCTGTCTCTGTACAGCCTTGAAGGCTAACATTTTATTTTCTTTAAAACAGAATCCTATAAATCTCATGAAATCTCATTATTTCAGGAGGTGGGACATTAATACCAAATGCTGAAAAGCTCATCATAAAAATCAAGAGAATGGGCCACTATGGATTACTTCCAAAATGCTGTTATTTACATGAGCAACTAAGAACTGTGAAGAGAGGAGAGGGGAGAAACATGCATATGAAGTTTGATTTCTACAAAACCTTTTTAAGATTCCCCATGTAAAGGTGCTACATAAGGCCATTTATTTATGTATTGTTGGTATGCTGAGATATACCAGTAGCCTTCAGCTACTCATGAATGATGACAAAACTATGATTTCACTTTTTGTACGTAGCGGGGTTTTGTTTTTTTTTGTTTTGTTTTGTTTTTTTTGTTTTTTTTTTTTTTGTTTGTTTTTTTTTTTTTT